CGGGGCTGAGGGGACGGCCGGGCTGAGGGGCAGCCAGGCTGAGGGGCACCCGGGCAGAGTGGAGAGGGCGCCAGGCGGCGGGTGGGACGGGCAGAAAGGGGCTGAGCTGGGTCTGACAGGCAGGCTCCTGGTCACCCTGTCAACCACGTTATCACTTTGGGGCTGAAATGCAAAAGCTGGGTTTGCCCACGTTTAGCCAGACTCTGGCAGAGGCCGGACTAAAATCCTGACTCCCGCTCGTCCCGTGTGAACTCGCCATAGCAGCACCCCTGGGAGCAGGGTTGATGCTCTCATGTTTGTTTGTTTGTTTGTTTGTTAATTCTCATTAGAGGATACTTTTCCATTGATTCTTTATTTATTTATTTATTTATTTATTTATTTATTCTAGAGTGGAAGGAAGGGGGAGAGACAGAGAAACATCGATGATTGGTTGCCTCCCACACACGCCCCAACCAAGGCCAAGGGATCAAGCCTGCAACCGAGGGATATGCCCTTGACCAGAATCGAATCCGGGACCCTTCAGTCCTTGAGCCAACGCTCTACCCACTGAGTCAAACCAGTTAGGGACTGTTTGGCTATTATTTGTGAGTGATAATTTGTTTTCCACTTTTGATGTCGAGAAAATAGTGCATGGCTTTGCTATGACATTAATACAGGAAAACTTGCAAAATTGTTCCTTTAAAATGGTCCTGGAGCCCTAGCCAGTGTGGCTCAGTGGGTCGGAGCATCCTCCCATACCCTTGAAGGTGGCAGGCTTCATTCCCAGTCATGGCACATACCCAGGTTATGGGTTCGATTCCCAGTCCTAGTGGGTACGGAAGGCAGTAGATCTATGTTTCTTTCTCACATTGATGTTTCTCTCCCTCCTCTCTCTTTCTCTCCTCCTTTCTCCCTTCCTCTCTCTCGCAAATCAATAATCACATCCTCAGGTAAGAATGAAAAAAAAAATGCCCTGGATCTTGATTTAATTCCACCTGACCTGCAGAGAAAGTATTGCATTTATATATTGACTTTAAAAACTCATGTTGGCAAAAAGCCTAAACGATCTCAAAATTAATATATTCATTAAAAATTATCCAAACAGCATACTTAATTTCAAAAATATTTTGATTTCTTATTGTCAATGCAGCAAAGATTCCAGCAATTGATAAGCTTGTGAAGAAAAGGACTTCTGCAGTAACAGTTGAAGATATGGGGTAAAGTGCTCAACATAAGTTTTGCCTGTTAGATAGTACTTTAAGAAAAGTAGATTTTGATTGTCAAATGAGTATTATATGTAAAATACTAAGGGTGTGATATTTCTTCCAAAACAAGCATGATATTTTATGGATCCTTAATTAAAAATATTTAAATGTAATTTCTTTACAGAGGTGAAGTACAGAATATGCTGGAAAGATTTGGAGGTATGTTTTAGAAGATTCTTTGTATTAAAAAAATTGTTTTAAACCAAATAACTTGTATAATGATCAGTGTATGCAAGACTATCATTTATTTTTTTAATATATTTTTATTAATTTCAGAGAGGAAGGGAGAGAGAGAAACATCAATGATGAGAGAATCATTAATGGGCTGCCTCCTGCACGCCCCCTTCTGGGGATAGTCCCCACAACCCGGACATGTGCCCTGACTGGGGAATTGAACTGTGACCTCCTAGTTCAGAGGTTGACACTTAACCACCAGCCAGAGCAACACCAGCCAGACTAGATATTTTCTTAAATTAAGATTTTTGTATGGTTGGTATGGGTCTGTTTTAGTAAAGTATATGCTGAAAATGAAACACCAACTGTAGTTTTAAAAAATAATTGCCCGTTTAGAGTGGCTCAGTTGGTTGAGCATTCTCCCATGCACTTCGAAAGTCACCAGTTTGACTCCTGGTCAGGGCACATGCCCAGGTTGCCTGCTGAGGGCACATACCTGGATTACAGGTTTGAGCTCCAGTTGAGGAGCATGTGGAGGACAACCAATTGTTTCTCACATCGGTGTTTCTCTCTCTCTAAGCATGTCTTCAGGTGAAGATTAGCAAATAATAAAATAATAATTTTCTTATTCTTTGATTTAACTATTTTTATCCTTTTTGGATTTAAAAATAGTTTTGTGTGTTTCATATAGTAAGTTCTAATAACAGTTAATCTAAATGTGTTGTTTCATTTTGGGTGAGGTGGGTGAGTATTTTATAAATTTAGAAAAATGTAGCCTTTGTGTTTTCTCATGAGGAAATTAAAGCCTGTCCTTGAGGTTGTTTTTTCCTTTTATTAACTGTTTAATCATCTATAAATTTTTAAAAAATCTGATCTTAGATATTAATAATGAAAAGTTTTCTCAGAAAAAAGCAAAGAACTTTGCTTTTGGATATTATGCCTATTTTAAAATTTAATTTTAAATGTCTTTCTGAAACTATTGAACCACGTTTACTCATATTTATTTCAATACTAGAGGCCCGGTGCACAAAATTTGTGCATGGGTAGGGTCCCTAGGCAAGGCCGGTGATCAGGGTCAATCTGTGGGGCAACCGGCGGGGCGATCTGGGGGCCCCGCTGGCACCCGCCTTGGCCGGCCTGGTGTTACCTGCTCGCCGGCCCTGCCCCCCACCGCCACCGCCGGTTGCCCCACAGAGGAAGGTGGCCAGCGGGGCAATAGGGGGACGGTGCCACCCATTCACCAGCCAGCTCTGCCCCCACCGGTCACCTCCCTCTGTGAAGCAATTGGGGCCCTCGCTGGCATCCACCTTGTCTGACCTGGGGCCTGTGGGTTTGGGGAAGTGCCTGCATTGAGCGTCTGCCCCCTGGTGGTCAGTGCAAGTCATAGCAACTGGTTATTCTACTGGTCTTTCTGCCGTTAGGTCAATTTGTATATCAGGCTTTTATTATATAGGATTTGGAAACAAAATATGTAATTTTTTTCCAATATTACATTTTAATGAATATTTATTTTCCACATAGCTAACATTAGCAACGCTCTTAATACAAAGAAAAAAAGACTAGCACTGTATACCAAGATTTCTCTCAAAACCAGTAACCAGAAAATTGAACATATTTGGAAAACCCAACAAGAACAAAGGTATGGTTGTTGGTTCTTTCACAGCCACATTTTTATCACTTCATAGTATTCATTAGTGTAAATTATGAAAAGCACTATTATATTTATTGGGATCTTCAGTAAAAAATATATTTGGCTTGATTTTTCTCTAAGTCCTTTAGTACTATAACTTCATTCCTTCATAGACTTGAAATCTATTTCCTAGAAATCAATAAAGATTACCTTTATCTCCTTTTAAATGAAAATTGAGGTTTCTTTGTCTAAAGGTAATTTGTATTTGTTATAGAAATATACTAACTGGATAAAAAGTAAATGTTATTATAACCATTAATCTAGTGAAAGTCAACTATTTAACAGTGTAGAAAAAGATCAATCTGATATTGTAAATAATTTGTATATTTAAGCTGAAGTACCTATTCTTTTATATAAATCGTACCAAAATGGGCACAAGTTAAGTGAAATATGTTTATTTGAAAATCTTATATGATAAGTACTAATATAATAACTTCATTGAATCTATCATATCAGAACCCATATTCAGTAGAATAAATGAAAAATAAACTGCTTGGCAGTAAAATGGGGTTTTCTGGAAATTTTATATATACAAGAGCTAAAGCATGTGAAAGGACTTTTTTATTAGTGTTAGGAGAATAAACACTTCTGGAATCATGATTTTACTTCTTGGTTTCATATCTGAAATTTTAAGATGCTTTTATTTCCTTCTTTTATTACAGTATAAAGTATATAAAGTTACTTTTGTTTTGAATGTTTTTTTCCCATACTAGTATGAAATATGACAATATCATTATTATGTTTTATAGGCAGAAGCTTAGCCAAGAATATTCTCAGCAGTTTCTGACTTTGTTTCAGCAGTGGGAGACAGATATACAGAATTCCAAGAAACAAGAAGAAAAACTAGCTGTTAGTATCATGCTTAGAATTATAATTAATCTATTTAACCAAGTGTCAAGTGGAAATGGAGAGCCTAGCCTTGTAGGAGACTTACAGAATTTGGCCAGGTTCCATGATCCATTGCTGGCATTATGCTTTGGTCCTGGTGATTGGAAAACCAGAGAAGTATAGGCACATGCCAAAATCATAAAAACTGATGGTCTTTGCTTCCTATATTGGTTGTGATTCTTTCAGTTCCAAGTGACACAAATTTGCCAAAGTACAAAAGGACTATTGGTTTATATAAAAAAAAAGTCCAGGGGTAGGTTAGCTTCAGGCATAGGTGGATGGGGGTGGAGGATTGCACATGTAGTATAGTCTTGGCTCTATCTCCAATTCTTAGTAGGCTCTCTCAATGTGGTAAGCAAGATAGCTTCTTTCAATCCCAGACTTAACAAATTTAGTAATCCCAGTGGACTGAGTCTTTCTTAGTAACCCTGACAGAAGAGTCCTCTGGAGGAATATCACTGATACCTTTGGAAAATTTGCCCATTATTGAATCAGTTATGATCAAAACATGGTTTACTCTTTTTTTTTTCTTCCCTTTTTTTGTTAATTCTCACCCGAGGATATTTTTCCATTGATTTTTAGAGAAAGTGGAAGGGAGGGGAGAGACACACAGAGAGAAACATAGATGTGAGAGACACACATTGATTGGTTGCCTCCTGCACGATTGGCCGTGGGGATCAAGCCTACAACCGAGGTACCAACCCTTGACTGGAATCCAACCTGGATTCGGAAGCCTGCTGCTCTATCCACTGAACCAAACCAACCAGGGCAAAACATAGTTTACTCTTGTGTTACCTGCATATTTCTATGGGAGATGGAAGTCAGTTCCATATATATATATATTACATTACATTATTTCATCCTTTCATTGTTTGTAAAATTATCACACATCTCTTATCTAAGAGCTAAGGTGCTATTCATATTAAATAATTTTAAGAGTTTGTTGATCATCTCAGTTTTGGAAATGTTAGGATGCATATGAAACATACCAAGAGGAGATGTTGAGTAAGTCATTGGTATGAGGCCAGTTCAGGAAAGAAGTATGAGTTGAACATACAAAGTTGGGAACTCTCACCATAAAGACAGCATTTAAGCCATTAGGTTGGATGAAATCACCAAGGGAGTGATTGTAAATGTAAAAGAGAAGTCTAAGAACTAGACCTGTAGATTTCAATGTTTAGAGTTCAAGAAGATGAGAATGAGTGAGTGCCCTAACAGCTACAAAGAAAACCACTTTAAGGAAAGTGAAGAAAGCCTTTTAAGGAGAGGATTAACTTTCACATGCTGCTTATAGGTCAAATAAGGTAGATTTGGTGATGTGAAGATTATTGGTGTTGATAAGGATGGTTCTGATCAGTCTTGAACAGAGTGGTTTGGTGGAATAGTGAGTGCAAAAACCCAATTAGAATGAGTATAAGAATGGGGGTGGAGGGAATGGGTGGTAGTCTGAGTAGAAAGTGTTATTGTGGTTATATTGTTGTTTGTTTTGCATTGTTAATCCTCACCCAAGGACATTTTCCCATTGATGTTAAGAGAGTGGAAGGAAAGGAGACAGACAGACACATCGATTGGTTGCCATCCACAGGAGCCCCAACCAGAGCCAGGGATACAACCTGCAACTAGGAATGTGCCCTTAACCAGGAATTGAACTCTCAACCCTTTGGTGTGTGGGCCAACACTAACCATTTTGCTACATTGGCCAGGGCATAGGGTTTTGATGTTGTTTTTTAAAGAATGATGAAAGAGTAGCATGTTTGTGTGCAAATAGAAATAATCTTCAGGGAAAAATAAAAAATAGTGGAAAGAGGGGAGACAGTTGCTGAATTCTTGAAAATGGATGGGACATGTGAAAAAGCCTCAGTAAGGATAGTATATCCTTAAAAATAGGAAAGAAGGTAGAGTATATGAGCACACAGAGATGTAGATGGGTATGTAGATATGGTGATAGACTGAAAACTCTTTCTGGATTACTTCTGTTTAGTGAAATAAGGTCGTCAGAGGGTGGAAAATATGTTGCCTTTTGAAGTCAAATCAGAAGGTATAAGATATTTTCTTGAGAGTGGGACAGTGAACAGACTAAGAAAATATAATTGCCAAACAGCACTAAGGGTCCAATTTAGGCTAGTGATCATGATTTAAAGAGACCTGTTAGTGTAGTTGCTTTCTTGAACTATGACCATCTGCAGCATTGTAAGCAGGATAGCTGGAGTTGTATTTTCCAGGGTTGAGATTAGGCAAACAAGTGTGACAGAATAAGAAGGGAGAGCAAGATATAGATGGAAAGGAGTAATTATAATGATTGACCACAGAATTTACACTGGGAAAGAGGAATGTGAGGACATGGGAATAGAGGACAGTGAAAAGTAGGTAGGATAAATAGATTTTAGGTCTTTTTAAAAATATTTTTATTGATTTCAGAGAGGAAGGGAGATGGGTAGAGAGATAGAAACATCAATGATGAGAATCATTGATCGGCTGCCTCCTGCACGCCCCCTAAGGGGGATCGAGCCTACAACCCAGGCATGTGCCCTTAGCTGGAACCGAACCTGGGACTCTTCAGTCCATAGGCCGATGCTCTATCCACTGAGCCAAACCAGCTAGGGCGATTTTAGATCTTGATAGAGATTATTGAGCTTTAATAGTACAAAGAGTGAGCTAGAACAGTAAAGAGAAGTGGTTGAACAAAGGGATATATGGAGAAACAGTATGAGTAATGGTTAGAGTTTGGAATCACATTCTGGTTTGACCAAATGCTAACTGTGAACTATGGAAAAATTATTTTTCTTTTTTCCTCAGTTACCTCATTTATGAATGGGGGAATAATAAGAATACCTATCTCATAGAGTTGCTTGGAGGATTAAATTTATATATAACTAGAGGCCCATTGCAGGAATATTCCTACAAGAACAGGGCTTCCTGAGACCGGAGTGAAGCAGAGAAGGGAGCAAAGCCCACCAAGGCGGGCTTCGCTCCCTTCTCCGCTGCCTCACTCCCTCCCTTCGCCGCCTCGCCTTCGGCTCCCTCCCGGATCTGCTGCCTTGCTCCCTCCCTTCACCGCTGCCTCGGCTCCCTCTCTTTCCCGCTGCCTCACCTCCCTCCCATATTCACCGCCTCACTCCTTCCCTTCTCCGCCACTTCGCTCCCTCCTGTGTCCGCTGCCTCAGCTCCGCTCCCACCTCTGCTACCTCCGATCCGTTCCCTTCTCCACCACTTGGCTCCCTTCTACATTGTCTTCAGTCTTCACTGGGTGCCTGTGTATGCAAATTAACCGCCATCTTTGTTGGGTTAATTTGCATACTCTTCTGATTGGCTGGTGGGCATAGCAAAGGTATGGTCAATTAGCATATTTGTCTTTTATTAGTGTGGATAAGTTTATTTAAAAGAGTTCAGAGTAGTATGTTATTATTCATACTATAAACAGGTTACTAGTTATTGGTAATGACAGAATCTAGGGTATAAGTATGTAAGGGAATGACTAAAGTAGGGTAGAAAGTAGGCCAAGGAACTGAAAGACCAGCATTATCGGAAGGATTATCTCTGTTGATATTGAAAGCACCAAGAATTAAGATATATTGAGTATTGTTAAGATTTCCTATTCAATGACTGGTAGGATTATTATATTGTACTAGAGGCCTGGTGCATGAAATTCATGCACCGGGGGGGGGGTGTCCCTCAGCCCAGCCTGCACCCTCTCCAATCTGGGACCCCTCAGGGGATGTCTGACTGCTGGTTTAGGCCTGACCCCTGTCCAGCAATCGGACATCCCTCTTGCAATCTGGGACCGCTGGCTGCAAACCGCTTGCCTCCTTGCCTGATCACCCCTAACCACCTCTGCCTGCTGGCCTGATACCTTAACTGCTCCCCTGCTGGCCTGATTACCCCTAACTGCCCTACCCCACGTCCTGATTGCCCCTAACTGCCCTCCCCTGCTGACCTGGTCACCCATAACTGCCCTCCCTTGTCAGCCCGGTCACCCCTAACTGTCCTCCCCTGCAGGCCTGGTCCCCCCCAACTGCCCTCCCCTGCCAGCCCGGTCACCACCAACTGGCCTCCCCTGCAGGGCTAGTTCCTCCCAACTC